GGCCAGCCTGCCTTGCACGGGGGGTACACCTTGGAACTTTATCAACAATAAGATTCCCTCAGCTAGGAAGAAAGTTGCGAACCACAGGAAGTTGTTCAACACGTTGTGGAAATCTTTTGAGGCGTTCTTGGATGAAATGGGACATCTCAACCCTTCAGTCGCCATTGAATGGCCAAAGGGATGCACGTATTGGAAGCTTCCGAAGGTGAAGAGCATTCTTGACAAGCATGGACTTGACAAGTCTGATTTTGATGGATGCGCTGTCGGTATAGTGAACGCCGACGGCATCCCTCTTAAGAAGCCTTGGTCTGTTGCCACCAATGTTGAAATGCTAGGGAAGAACACCGAAAACTACACATACAAACTTACTGATGCGATCCACGCAGCCTTTTCGATCTCAGTCGCCTCCCGAGTGATACCTTCAACTCCTGCGGTAAGGATGTCGTCCCTCGTGCCCTCCGTTGATATCTTGCTCAACGATGTGTTGGAGAAGGAGCTCGACATTCAGCGCACCATCTACAATCTGGTGGAGTGGGACAAGCTGATGAAGCAGTTCCAGACGCAGGCAGCGATCGCGACCATCCCGGAACCGGACACGGTGACTCGGACTATCGCATCGCAAGAACAGGCGCCGGGAGTGATGCTGGGGGGAACCCTAGCCGGGAGCAACTCAGAAATGGCTTATTGGGACTTGATCCAAGTCCTAGGGCGCAACGCCCCAGCGGAATTTCGCGCTGTGCCATGCCCCTCGGAAGAGGTGGTCGGCATTTTGGTCATCGGAGACTCTTCCTGCGCCATGGTCGAAGAGCCGAATGATAAATTCCCGACCAAGCACCATGTGGCGGAACTGCTTCAGGCCGAACAGCTGAAGGGGGTCCGCAACATTTACCACGGCATGGGCTGGGGAAAAGGGCTTGACGCTATTTATAGCACCATGGAGGCCAAAGTGCGATTCATCGCCGAGGACAACTCCCAGAAAGGCATCAAACAGCTTCCCATTTCGGTTTACGTATTGTGGGGAGGAAACGATGTCTTCGGCAACTATGGGTACGTGGGATGCAGATGGATCCATGAGAAACGGTTCAATCGTACGGAAACGGGCCGGAAGGCCGCGTCGGAATGGCCAAAAGTTCAGAGGACCCGCGTGTTTGAACAGCTTGACTTCTTCAAGGAGGCTGTTGGGCTTGGACGCATTCGGGACATTACTTTCATCAGTAACCCGGACGCAGAGGGGACTACGGCCTCACCTCCGATTACAATGAGGCTATGAACGGCTGCCTTCGACACCTTGCAGATGGGGGCATCGACGATGGGACCCGCGTCAAGGCGATCGACTCGATCGACCCGTCGGTCATGACATTGCTGGCTCACAGGTACGACGACGTGCGTATGACATACAGCAATGCCAACCGGAAGGTTGTGTCGAAATTCCTTCATGCGGCAATCAACACTCAGCTGTTGGCCCAACGGATCAGGTGCGCTCTCCCGGCGATCGGGAGCGTTGAACCCTATGTGAAAGGAGAACCGGTGGATCCTGTGCTGTTTGGCTGGCCCACATGTTTGAAGCTGGCCAAAGTCCTCCATGAATATGCTGCGATGGAGGAAAGGCCCGACTGGTCTCAGGACCAGGAGGGCGAGGAAGTCGTGGCCGCCTGGATGAAAGTGGCTGAGGACGAGTCCTACAACGCCATGACCATCGAGATGAGGGGGGACACGGTTGGCGAGGCGGAGATTATCCTCGAAGCGGTCGACAAGGGAGAGGAAAACTCAGATGAAGAGTTGGACCGCGTTGAAATCGCCATGTCGCAGCACATTGGCCATACCGCGGAGCAGCGCGGGTTGTCCGTTGTTCCCGACGATGAGGACAAGGACAAATGGCTCCTGCTGGGTGATGACACCCAGGATTTCGGGTGGGACCCAACCAACCTACCCTTCAGGAGTGCACCGCGCTGCGGAAGGAGACTTGTTTGACCAGGAAACGGTTGTGTCCTTGGAACTGGTGTCAGAGGCAGATGAATCCGAGGCGGCAGGGATGAGTTCCATGATCACCGCGGAATCGGTAGCTTTTGAGTCTGTGACGGAGGGCACCAGCACATCCAAGCAACCGCCGACTCCGCCGCCGCCAAGGCGCGCTGCTGCAAAGAGCGCTGCGGGGGAACCCCAGTCGACTGGTTTCATCGAGATTGGAGACGAGTCTGACCCCACGGCTGCAGGTTCGGCCGACAAGCCCCAGGTGAAGGCGATGCCGAGGATTACAAAGGCCAAAGCGCCGCCAGGCAACGCCGAGGGGGAACCCCGGTCAAAAAAGCAGAAGGGCCCGATGCAGGAAAAGATCTTTTGGGCAAACTGGGTCAAAACCCGGAAGATCAATACCAAGGTCCCGGCTGAGGAGCAATGCGAATGGCTCGAGGTCGAGGACATGGGGCACGTCCCCAAAGTGAACATGGACCGCGACTACAGGTTGGTGGCGATCTCGAAGAAGATGTCCTACTTCTCAGGGGTGGGGCGTTTAAGGACGGGAAGCCACATCCGCCATTCCGAGGAATCGATCTATCCGTGGAGTTCGATGCGCTGGTCAGGCATCTGAATGACCGGATCGCGAACGTGAGACCTTGGGAGGTGATGGTTTGCATCCGGAACAACAACACGCGGAGGTTCCGAGTTATGGTTGGCCCACCTCCGGTGGGAGAAGCATCCTGGAAAGGATTGCCGTACCAAGCAATGCGGGTGAGGGCCGTTCAAGGACACCACAATGAGCTCACGAGGAAGCACACGGAGCAGGCTATCCTGACTAACCTGTATTCCTTTGACGAGGAGTTCACCGCGGCAAAGTACCTGGGCGGCCAACACCCGAGAGCGGTACGGAATCCCGAGCGAACCGACCTATGGCGCCGAGGCTTCCCCGCTGTGCTCTACCACACGTGCGACCTCAGGTCGGCGGAGAGCATCTTCAAGTTTGGCCTGGTTCCGGGGGGCTATCCGAAGTCGACGGGCAGAGCCCGCGTTTACTTCAATCCCACGCCACCCTGGGAGGCGCAAATGAGGAAGCTGGCGAGAACGCGAGCCGGAAGGCCCGTCACGATTGCTTTCGATACGGAGCTCATGATGCAGGACGGCATCCGACTCTTCACGAGCGATGAGGCGTTTATGTCTGCCGATTGGGTTGGAAATGCATACATTATTTACGCGTTCCACACCCGCAAGAATGAGTTCCTATTCTTCAATCGGGCTTACCCGGAGCTGCGCAAAAGGTACCGCAATGTGCTAACATCGGAGCTCACACCCGGTCCCCAAGATGTCAATCCGAGCTTTTTCAAGAGTGAAAACACCCTGACCGCGGAAAAGGCATGGAGGCACTGGCAGACTGTTGTTGAAGGAACGAGGAACGGCAAAGTGCTTCCTGGCGCCGTCACCGAGATTGCCACGATCGATGAGCTCGCTCCCCGGAAGGGGAAGTCGAATGAGAGACCTGCAGGGCCGACGTATCAGATCGCACCTGCAACCCTTCGGCGGGTGCCCGAGCTTTCCAGGGGAGAGAAAGGGCATGGTCGCGGCTGGAGCAACCTTCGGAACCGCTACCAGAGTGAGCCAGATTGGGAAGACCTCTTTTTCACGACAATGATGAAGAACCCGATCGTGAAAGGCTGGAACAGAAGGTGCGGCAACTCGCAAATCGACGGCTACCTTCTGTGTCAGGAGTGCCGCTCGGACATGGTTGAGTGGACGGATGCCCGGATAGCCACAGAAGTTGTGCGACTTGAACACACTGCGGCTCTCCAAAACATGGTTTTCTACTTGGAAGACCTCCAGGAGGGCGGTGGCAAGTGGATCCGATCCAAGCACCATGCAAAGGAAGGAGAGAAGCGGGGAGGAATCTCCGTCGAGGCGTCGCTCAGGAACAAGGCGCAAGGGGCTGCGCGAAGGTGTCCGACCGCCTCTCGGTTGACCCTTTCTACGCCTACAACTGCGCCACGCAAGGGTTGACTCCGGAAAGTTTGGATTTCCTGGGTCGGATTGCCCGCGCTATCGTTGCGGACCCTGGCCGGACGAGGGAGGAGCGAGAGAGGGGGGGCTCCCAAAACACCGGAACCAAATTGGTGTTCATCCCCACTCCCAACAAGCTCAACCCTCACGAGCTGAATGTCTCGACAGAGGTGTACATTGCTCACCATGCACGGTTTTACACCGTTATGCAATTCGCTGTCATGTGAATGTGCGCGTACCGCTTTGTTCCCAACAACCAGGTCCCGATCATCATCGGACACAGTGGGCAATACGTCCCGGAAGGGAACGTCGAAACCATCCTGGATGTCATGGTCAGCTTCATCCGCGCATCGTGGAAGAAGTATGACCCGCAAGGTACCATCAGCACGAGGCCGCACAAAGAGCTACCCCATCGAGGCAAAGAGCACCCAATGGAGAGCGATTACCAGGTCCATTCGTCCCAAGCCCTACCAGACCAAAGGAAAGGGCAAAGGTAAGGGCAAGAGCAAGGACAAGGGACGTCAGGACTGGCACTCCTGGAACCATGGGTGGTCCTACGGATGGGAGCAATGGCGGCAAGGCCCCTGGGGATGGTGAGCACCCGCATCAACAACAAATGTTTAGCTTTTGTTGCGGGAACTTTGTCAAATTCATTGGTGATGTCATGATTGTAACCCATTTTTCTTTCATCCATTGATGCCGCAACATTAGCTGTGCTGTTTTGCACGCCCGGCGGAAGCTGCGGCCGTAGGTCTATCCACGGCCACCCCCACCGGATTTCATTTCCGTTTTCTGCCCAGCGGAAGCTGTGGTCGTGAGATCACCACCGCTGATTATGGCAGATGAATTTGATTTCAAAAAAAATCCACATGCAGTAACACGCGTGTGTAGCCCGACGGAAGTCGTGGTCGGCCGATTCACCTGGCTTGCTCCTGCAAAAGATCAAGTGCCTTGCAGTTGAAGCAGCCATTGATGCAACAGGCCCTAAACCATGACCTGCCACTTTCCATACCGAGGCTCGACGTCTTCGCAGTCGCGACCCTAGAGGACGTTGCTTCAGGCCTGGGAGGGAAACATGTACAAAGTACTGTTCTCACCAACGCTCCTCTGCAAAGCGGGGGGTGTTGTTAGGTAGCGGCATACCGACGTGATAATTGGCTCAAGAAAAACTAGCTGCTGCCCGTGCTGATTTCTAGGTAGATTCCACCTTTCAACAGTTTTTGAATCCTGACAAGAACCTGAAACGCTTAACTTCGTGCCAGTTGAAGAAGCGTTTCCCACGGAAGACACGTGGCTGTTCAGCAAGAAACCAGTGAATATTTGGGCCAGTTTAACAGGACAGCATGTCATGAAGCCAACCATTCAGAGGAGTTGCAAGCTTGTCTTGGCGCATCCCAGTGTGCCCCAGCAATGGATGCTTGGCAGGCTGGCTCAAGGGCCGCAACGGAACCACTGACGCTTGACCGCCCGTGACCTCAAACCTTTAGCTTTCAAGCTGAAAGCTAGCAAAGAACTGCCAGCTGAATTTGAATGTGTAGGAAATTGTAGGAATGAAGTGAGATCTGAATGTGTCAAAACGATCCGAAGATCGGTTGAGATGTCCTGTGTCCCCTTTTTGACACATTCCCAATGGTTCTCCAGGCCTCCTTGCAGGTTCCTGGGTGGATCCTTACGGGTTCGGTCAGAATCTCCAGTCTCTCAACTTGGAGGGGAAGCATTTGGGACTCCCTCAATTTCCCGCGACCTCAGGAAGACAAACTAATTCCAACCCCCCCTCCCCCAATTTTCCCAGTTCCATTCATTCTGCACTTGCTATTTTGACCACTTGCATGGGAGACCTCCACGGTGCAAGCCTTCCTGGGCCAATGATGCACCCAGCTTGAACGCCAGCTTTGGCTTTCCAGCGTCAATGCTGAAAGGACGAACCGCAATTGCCCAAATGCAAACTTGCTGCGAGTGGACAAGGGATGGGAGTCGCCCCGTAGCTCTCCGAGGGGGGGGGGCGGGCGGAGCGAATCTCTTGGCGGAGGAGGGAGCCATGTGGGAGTGATGCAACAAAATTGGTGCGTGTGATCAGGGGCACTGCAGCAGTTTGGTTTGGATAGCACCACAGCAAGGGTCATTACTGAAGCCGCTGATGTTTGCACGGGTATGGATTCAGCTGCAGCAGTGTTGCATCAACATGTTTCCCCACGCATCTTTCAGATACTTCTGCAGCACTGTCATCAGCTGCATTGCTTGCTGCCAAATATGGGCCGTGGCAAGAAGCCAAGTCTTTTGCCCCCCGAGGTGCGCCGACCAGCAAAAAGAGGGGCTGGCCGGGTCAGAGAAGGGCCATTGGAATCGGCGCAGAGTCACTGCTAGCAAACCAACCAAATTTTTCTACAATCGTCTTCGGAAACCGCCTTTTTTCCGTGGTTCAGGCGGTTTTTTCCTGCCCGACCAAATCCACTGTGTTTGAACAAATGGAGGTTGGAACAGAATGTCTTGACAAACATATAAAGATAATAGAAGGGCTGGTCAATGCATGATTGATGTGCAATGCTCTCAGCAGCATGACATGTCAACTTGTCGAGTTTGCAGAGTTGGGGCCGAGTTGGAGAAAGCGCTGTACTTCGTGTGCTCAGATCTTAGCTCCTGCTCATACCATGCAGGAGGAGGCAGTGGTGCTGGCCAACGTCGCCGAACAAGCAGAGCGTTATGACGACATGGTCGAGTACATGAAGGCTCTGGGCCATTCACATCACTCTGGCTAACAACTGCGTCCAGTTTGGCATATGGTGGCCACTTCAGTTGAAAAGCATCCTCCCTGTGTACCCTCCTGCAGATTGAGGGTTTCCCAAAAGGAGCTTCCTCTACAACCGATGTGTTTTTTGGGAGGGATTGCAAGGCTCCACAATCTGCGGGCACGTACCTGCCAGGATCGAATCAGCGCCGGCAAGCGCTTTGCCGGGAAGAGCGGGAGATGGTGGCCGCAGCCTTCAAGGCGCAGTTGACCAAAGAGGCAACAGTGCACGGACGTGGGGCTTGTTTTTGGACTGGGGACTTTGAATGGTACAGCCGACAGAGAACCCCTCAAACTGGGGACACCAAGCGTTGGTTTCGGTGAGGCTTCCCTGTTTCATGCTTGTACTCCCTCCTAATTAGGCAAGCCATCTCAATACCAAAACAAATGAAAGTGAGTCGGGGACCCCCTGTCCAAATATATGCCCTCCAGACGGTGCAGGGCGCCATGAGCAGCCGTCGGCTAGCAGTGCGAGTGGCCAAAAGCATCCAGGATCAGGAGGCGCGGCAAGGGTGAGGAGCGAGCGCTATCAAAGGCCAGGGTATTTCAAGGTTGGAGACAGTCCCTGGTTCGGCCCACCTTTCTGAATCTGTACAGGGCTTTGGGTAAGCCCCTTCGGACCGATTTAGATTGTGGCTCATCAGGGACACGTTTTGGCCGCTCAAGTGCTCGCCATGCTTGTGTCTCAAATGAGAGGTTCATCCAAACGGGTTGGTTTCACATTGGCTTCCCTCACCACACAGCCACAGAGGGTTGGAGCTTTGGCCCCAGGCGGAAGCTGACAAAGAGAAGAATGCGGCGCTTGCGGCAGGCTACCTGAGCAAGGTGCGCCGCAGTTGCTCACGTGAATGGGCCATGTGTCAAACCGATCCGGAGAGCCCTCCTACTGGTTGGGGTCATGGTGCAAATGACTCGCGTGTCATGCATTCGTGGGCCGAGAACCAGACAACCACTCTTGCCACACTGAATGATGCTGGCTTCAAAGCAGCTCAGGTGCGCTTGGAGCTGCAAGGCATTTGCATTCAGGCAGTCGTTCCATGCATAGGGAGCCTCATGGGACCTGCATGTGTGAGGTCCTGGAGCTGATAGAGGGCACTCTTCTGCCAGACACTGGGCCCTCAGGAAAGCAAGCCGAAAGCGTCTCAATACGTCTAAGGCCCAAGGCAGAGAATGGAGAGCCCAAAGTCTTCTACAAGAAGATGCAGGCCCGGAGCTCGTGCATCTTAGAAGATGAAAATTTCAATCTGCTGGCCAGGCCGATTACTACCGTTACCTTGCAGAGTTTCTGCAGGACAGCAAGGAGGCGACGCATTCATAAAGGTTTCCTTTTGAATATCAAGAAGTGGCCTTTGTTTAGGCGCCCCCTACTCGTACCACTTTTTGCTTGGCCCGCTGGGTCATTCCTGTACGAAATATGATGCTCGTTGTCTTTTGGGAGGTTGGCGTGTTTTCGAGGCGGTGGCCAGTGCCAGCGAAGTCTACGCAGATGCCACGGCCGAGGCAGAGTTTTATCAAAGGCAGCCTTTTGTGAAGCAGGCGGAACTGAAGGCTCTGCTTTCGAGCATGGCTGCTCATGATTGCTTTCCCAACCTTGTATCCTTGTCCAAGAAGATGACCATCCATGCCACCCTTGCCCTTTGCAATCGTGCTTCTTAGATCCAATGGATCTATATCGCAAGGCGGAAACACACCTCATGGTGACGCATCCGCTGCGCCTGGGCTTGGCGCTGAATCACGCCGCCAGGGCCCTGGAGGGACTGAAGCTTTAGTTCTCAGAAGTGGCATGCAAGCTTGCGACTGACAGAGCTGTACGCGCCTTAGAAACTGAGGTGTTCCAGCAAGTGGTGCAACAGGCAACGCGTTTCGGTCAAGAGAAGGATTCAGCCATGTTTGTGGCATTGGAAGGACACCGCTGCTGCAGTGCGGATCGCCAAGGTGCAGTGGATCAGATACTGATTCCTTTTGCTATTGGCAGTGGGAGCTCTGTATTGCGACTGTTCGTCTTCCTCTTCAAGGGATTGGTATGACCTTGATCGGGATTTAAGGGTTTGTCCTAATCTATGAGCTGTGCCCGTAAAGATGGTAACTGCTCCCTTTCGCCTTAGCCCTTTCTTCTGCGTTCCCAGTTTTGTTTGACACTCCGAATTTGTTTTACATTCCATGCAGCATGTGCAAAGCGTGTTGTCAATGCATCAAGTCATGCGCAAGGACGCCCACCATGTGGCAGTTCGCGCACTGGAAGGCATGCCTCAGGCAGCTGGGCTGTTTTCAGAGCTGCGCATGACTTTTCGTTCGGATTATTTTGAAGGGAGCAATGGCCAGCGAACACAAATGACAATTTTCTCAGGGTTGCTCCACGTTACGCCTACGAATTACCCTGGCTCCCTTGTAGGAGACCACCATGCTTTCTGGGGGTGTTCCTCACTTTCATGGCGATCCGCAGTGGGTGTAGTGGAACACAAGGGGGCGGGTCTTGGACACTAACAGGCAGTTTTTGTATCAACATCCCAAAGCAGATTGCAAGCTCCACAAGGGGGATGGTGCAAAGACACGGTGGCCGAATCGCAGGAGGCCTTGCGGGACGCCAATCCGCTGCTGATGCTTCTGCAGGACTGATGTGAGGAAAGCAGAATTCCTTGCACTCGAACCAAGCGCTTTGGGACGTGCCAATTCCACAGGTGTCAAAGCTAGGGGCATTTTTGGGAATGGCAAATGCAGAAGCCAGCCATTTTTCCAGCGTCCCTGGTGACATGCAGCTCAGAACAGCAGGGCACAAGGGGTAGGTTGAGGCCCAAGCCTTTGAGGCCATGGGCTTTGCAAGGAAAACCTGCGGGCTTGGTCTCCTGAGGACTTTCCATAGGGCAGGTTTCACCAGCGCACCAAAGGTAATTGCCTTTTGCAGCACAGTGGAGCAGTTCAAGTACGTGTCTTTCTATGTTTCAACAGGCCATGTTTCTTTGCTGGGAGCCAAAATTCCTCAAGCTCATCCAATCCATCATTGCTGCATTGCCGAAGAATTTGACATCGGCGAGTGCGCCCCAAACGAGCGAGAGAAGCTTGCGCGTGCAATTGTCTGGGCCGAAGTCTGACTTGCAAGTAAAAGAGTTCTGGTGGCCAAACTTTCTCCGCGACGCCGCCACTTCTCGCTTGAGCCGTAGTGATGCCCGCCGAGCCTCAAGAGGCACAACTCCTTTGCCGTGAAAAGTAAAGCTTCAGACCACACCTGGTCCTATCAAATGCTCCCGCAGTCTTTGGGTTTGGCTTGGTGGCCCTCTTGCTTCGTGCAGTTTGGTGGCTCATTTAGCATGCGGGCGAGTATCGACACTAGAATCCCTTTTGGGTCTGTTTGAAAAGGGAGCCCACCTGCCACCAACGTTTTCTAAGGGGCCTTGCTTTTGACGTGTGCCCGTGTGCCTCGAACATCAGGTCATGGACGCAGACTCGGCCTTGAAGAGGGTTCCAGCCATCAAGCAGCTCGAACAGGCCCTCTTGTCGGCCACCCGGCGTTTGTCTCCGTGCCAATGGGTCAAAGATGTCAAAAGGCCTACTTGTTTGAGCTTGGTAAAAAGTCCTCCACGCCCTGGGTTTATACAACCAGTGTGAGGATTCTCATTCAAGACATCACGATGGTGTTTCCTCAAATCAGAGAACCCTTCAGAACCAGCTCAAAAAAGACTTCTCAATCATCTACCAAATGTACAGCAGGCTGGCTGGCACCGTGCAGAAGGTTAGTGACTTGATGTTTCGCCAAGAATTGGCTGTTTTTAATTGAGGATGCATTTGCAAGGAGCTGCCCTTCCTTTTTCCCGTAGCGAAGGGTTCTCGTTTATAAGTGGGGGTCTGGGGGTGGAGGCCGTGTTCGCGAGGAGTTGCTCCAGAGTTCGCAACCGTCCGCAACCGTCCACAACCGTCCGCGGTGAGGCGATAAGCGTGTGCCATTGGGATTCGTTGTGGAAGCGTGTTTTTGATGGATTGGCAAGTGCTGTTTTCGTTGGCCCTGTGCGCGAATCGTAGCTTCTCAAGCTCGACGTGTCGTTTTGCTGCGCAGGCGCAGTGTTTTGGAAGGCTGCGTGTTCTCGTTGCCGTGCCATTGGGATTTGCGATCCAGAGGTGGTCGCTTTGAGGTGTCCTGCTTGGCAGGCGCGTCATAGTGTTTGCGCCGGCGCCGTTTTCGTTCGTTGGCCCTGTCGTGCAGTCGGCTCGTCTTGGCGGGCCTGAAACATGTCAAAATTGGTCGGCGCCACAGTCCCGTGCTAGTTTTGGATGCGTGTCGTAAACGTGTCAAAGTTGGATTTCGTGGCAGCTCCAGCACTTTGGATGATTTTCAGTTTGTGGCAAGCTTACTTTGCGTGGCAGGCGCAGCACTTTCGAGCGTTTTGGTTAAATTTTGTGGCAGGCGCAGGATTTTGGAGCTTTTCGTGCAAATTTCGTGGCAGGCGCAGTACTTGGGTGCCTGGGTGTAGATGTCGTGGCAGGCACGTCAGTTTGACTCAGCGAGATCGCTTGGGTGGGTCAAATCGCTCTCGCTGCGGCGCGGTGCACATTTTGAGCGCGCAAAGTGAACCCTCTGCGCACTTTGGGTGGGTCGAATCGCTCTCGCTGTGGTGCGTTTGGAGACAGAAGTTTCGTTCAGAAGTGCCGATCACAAGTGTCCATTAGAAGTGTCGCTCAGAAGTGTCGATTAGAAGTGTCGTTCAGAAGTGTCAATCAAAAGAGTCGCTCATCGAAAGTGTCGACAGAAGTGTTGCTCGGAAGTGTCGATCAGAAGTGTTGCTCAGAAGTGTCGATCAGAAGTGTCGAACAGAAGTGTTGCTCAGAAGTGTTGCTCAGACGCGTCCCTCAGAAATGTTGTCAGAAGTGTGGTTGCTCAGAACTAGAAACTGTTGATCAGATCAGTGTGGATCAGACGTGTTGATCAGAACTGTCGATGAGAAGTGTCAATCAGAAGTGTTGCTCATCAGTGTCAATCAGAAGTGTGGTTCAGCAGTGTTGCTCAAACTGTCGATCAGAAGTGTCAATCAGAAGTGCGGATCAAAAGTGTTGCTCAGAAGTGTCGATCAGAAACGTCGATCAGAAGTGTTGCTCGATCAGAAAAATGTCGCTCAGAAGTGTTGCTCAGAAGTGTTGATCAGAAAACAAGTGTCGCTCAAGTGTCGCTCAGACGTGTCAATCAGAAGTGTGGGTCAGAAGTGTTGCTCACTCAGTGTCGATCAGAAGTGTTGCTCAGAAGTGTCAATTCAGCAGTGTTGCTCAGAAGTGTCGTTCAGAAGTCGATGAGCAGTGTGGATTCGGTGTTGGTCAGAAATGTTGCTCAGAACTGTCGACGAGAAGTGTGGATCAGAAGTGTTGCTCATCAGTGTTAATCAGAAGTGTGGTTCAGCAGTGTTGCTCAAACTGTCGATCAGAAGTGTCAATCAGAAGTGCGGATCAAAAGTGTTGCTCAAAAGTGTCGATCAGAAGTGTTGCTCAGAAAAGTCGATCAGAGAAAGTGTCGCTCAGAAGCGTTGGTCAAAAGTGTCGATCAGAAAAAGTGTGGTTCAGAAGTGTTGATCAGGTGTCGCTCCGAAAGTTCGCTCAACAGTGTCAATCTTGATGAGAAGGGTTCCTCAAAAGTGTTGGTCAGACGTGTCGATCAGAAGTGTTGCTCAGAAGTGTCGATCAGAAAAAGTGTGGTTCAGAAGTGTTGGTCAGGTGTCGCTCAAAAGTGTCGGTCAGAAGTGTCAATCAGAAGTGTTGCTCAGAAAAGTCGATCAGAAAAAGTGTCTCTCAGAAGTGTTGCTCAGAAGCGTACATCAGAACAAGTGCGGTTCAGAAGTGTTGATCAGGTGTCGCTCAAAAAGTTCGCTCAGAAGTGTCAATTGTTGCTCAGAAGTGTTGATGAGAAGGGTTCCTCAAAAGTGTCGGTCAGAAGTGTCGATCAGAAGTGTTGCTCCAAAAGTGTCAGTCAATTCAGGAGTGTTGCTCAGAAGTGTCGTTCAGAAGTGTCGATTAGCAGTGTGGATCAGAAGTGTTGGTCAGAAGTGTTGCTCAGAAGTGTCGATGAGAAATTTCGATCAGAAGGTGTCAATCGGAAGTGTGGTTCGGCAGAGTTGCTCAAACTGTCGATCAGAAGTGTTGCTCAGAAGTGTCATTTCAGCAGTGTTGCTCAGAAGTGTCGTTCAGAAGTCGATGAGCAGTGTGGATTTGGTGTTGGTCAGAAGTGTTGCTCAGAAATGTCGATGAGAAGTGTGGATCAGAAGTGTGGCTCATCAGTGTCAATCAGAAGTGTGGTTCAGCAGTGTTGCTCAAACTGTCGATGAGAAGTGTCAATCAGAAGTGCGGATCAAAAGTGTTGCTCAGAAAAACCGATCAGACAAAGTGTCGCTCAGAAGTGTTGCTCAGAAGTGTCGATCAGAAAAAGTGTGGTTCAGAAGTGTTGATCAGGTGTCGCTCAGAAGTGCCGCGCAGTAGTGTCAATCAGAAGTGTTGCTCAGAAGTGTTGCTCAGAAAAAGTGTCGCTCAGAAGTGTTGCCCAGAAGTGTCGATCAGAAAAAGTGTGGTTTATCATCAGGTGTCGCTCAAAAGTGTCGCTCAGAAGTGTCAATCAGAAGTTGTGCTCAGACGTGTCACTCAGAAGTCTAGTACGCGCTGGAAAATCGCAACTTTGAAGCGCAAGCCTAGTGTGCGAAGTACAGGTTTTCAGCTCTAGCTGGAAAATCACAACTGTGTAGCACAAGTGTTGCGCGCGAAGTACAGGTTTCTGGAAAATCACAACTCTGAAGCGCAAGTCTAGTGCGTGAAGTACAGGTTTCCAGCTCCAGCTCGAAAATCGCAACTTTGTAGTACCAGTCTATAACGTGCGAAGTACAGGCTTCCAGCTCCAGCTGGGAAATCGCGACTTTGTAGTACAAGTCTAGCACGCGAAGCGCAGGTGCGCGAAGTCCAGCTCCAGCTCAAAATCACAACCTTGTAGCACAAGCCTAGCGCACGAAGTACAGGTTTCTAGCTCCAGCTGGAAAATCGTAACTTTGACAAGTCTAGTGCGCCAAGTACGGGTTTCCAGCTCCAGCTGGAAAATCGCGACTTTGTTGTACAAGTCTAGTTCGCGAAGTCCAGGTTTCTAGCTCAAGCTGGAACATCGCGACTTTGTAGTACAAGTCTAGTACGTGAATTACAGGGTTCTAGCTCTAGCTGGAAGACTTTGTAGTACAAGTCTAGTACGCGAAGTACAGGTTTCCAGCTCCAGCTGTAAAAAGGCGACTCTGTAGTTCAAGTCTAGTACGCAAAGTACAGGCTTCCAGCTCTAGCTGGAAAATCGCAACTTTGGTGCTCGAGGTGTACAGGTTTCCAGCACTAGCTGGAAAGTCACAACTTTGTAGTGCAAGTATAGTACGTGAAGTACAAGTTTCCAGCTCTGGCTGGAAGATCGCAACTTTGAAGTGCAAGTATAGTACGCGAAGTACAGGTTTTGAGCTCCAGCTTGAAAATCGCAACTTTGTAGCGCATCAGCTCTAGCTGGACAATCGCAGCTGTGTGGCGCAAGTCTAGTGCGCGAAGTACCAGCTCCGGCTGGAAAGTCGCAACTTTGTAGTACAAGTCTAGCGCGCGAAGCGCAGGTTTCCAGCTCCAGATTGAAAATCGTAGCCTTGTAGCAACAAGTGGAGCACGCAAAGTACAGTTTTACAAGCTGAAAAACATAGTTTGCGCAGCAGGCTTGATTGCGAGCCCCATTGGCTTATACCGAAAAATGGTCTTTCTAATTATTTTCTTGGGTTTGCGCAAAGTGATACGCATTCGGGTTCGTGGGCTCTGTCTTGTTTCAATTCTGAAGGACAGCCTGACAATTATTGGGAATGCAGAAAGCCCTTTGCCAGGCCTTGGAGCAGAAGTCAGGTTCTCAGAGACGGGGTATGGCCTTCGTCAAAGGCTCCACTTCCTTGGGTGCCTAGTTGGCTCGCAGCTTTTCACGGGTTCATCAAACACTCCAGTGCATGGTCCATTTGCAAGAGACAGGGACCAACCCGCTGGTTAGTCAAGCTTGGCATAGACCTCCATACCTTGTCACGCAATGGAGACAACCATCCTCTTGTCGAAATTATGATGCTGGCTCACGTGAGAAGTTTCTGCTTCCATGCTTTCCGGTGTGGTGCCTATGGACCCAATGGAGCCCAGTCAGAGGTCCCAGATGAGCGCCAATAGCTTCAAGGCAGGGGAATCTGACAAGGTGGAATGGATGGGGCAACATGGGGCGGCGGACATAGGGGATGCGTCCAAAGAGGTGAATGTCACGGGTGTCGCTTGATGCCAGGCCAAGGTGGGCGAGCGATTGGAGCGGGCGCGCAAGAAAGCGCAGGCACTTGGAACTACAATGCACCGGTCAAGCCGGCAACGTGGATGTGGGTGCGTCCAGGACATAAAGACGCGGACTGTGACGATTGTGAAGGCCAAGAGGGCGTCGAAGATAAGCTGAGAAAGAGAACTTGTTTGTTTGGCGAGAAATGCAAGAGTTTGTAGGAAAAGCCTGTTTGTATTAATCCAGCGGCCGGTGAGCGTGCTAGTCTGAGTAGAGGGACCTCATTCGAAATCAAATTATATAACCTTTGCATGTACGCTTTGTGGCAGGAGCCAGAATTCCAAAAATTGACGATCTCAACTGGCACTGGCGTGCCAGCCTCAGGTTGCAGCCACCAAGCCTTGACACCCTCATTGCTAAGCAATATTAGCACACAAGCCGCCGCGCCAAGCATTTCAGTTTGTTTGGTTCATGGCCGGTTGACAAGTTTCTTGCGGACTTCCCGGATTGCTGTAATTTTCTCCTGGGTGCTGTTCGTCTCCGGGAACCTCATGTGCGACACCTCTTGGGAACTTCTCAGAAACCTATAGGAAAGCCGTCTGACACCCAGCAGAAACCTACTAATTCGCCAAGCGGGTTTTAAGTCCGTTACTTTTCTCAAATGCCTCTCTCTATCTTGCTTTCATATTCCCCACGTTGTTAAATTTTATGTTGGAATCCATGTTTGCGATGCTTCTACACCACGCCCCCACCCAGTATCCCGCCAGAGCAGCTCGCTAGTGGATCCCGCCGAGCCAGCGCAGCTGGCCAGTGGATCCTGCTGAGTATCCCGCCAGAGCGGCTCGCCAGTGGATCCCGCCAAGTATCCTGCCAGAGCGGCTCGCCTGGATCCCGCCGCGTATCCCGCCAGAGCGGCTCCCACCACAGCAGCCCCCCCCCCCCCGCCGAGTATCCCGCTGAGTATGCCAGAGTAGCTCGCCAGTGGATCCCGCCAAGTATCCCGCCAGAGTAGCTGGCCGGTGCATCAAGTATCCCACCAGAGCAGCCTGCCGGTTAATCTGCCGAGTATCCGGCCAGTATGGAGCCGCAACGGCTCGCCAGGACAGTGCATCCCGCCAGTATCCTCCCAGAGCAGCTCGCCAGAGCAGCTTGCCAGTCTGGTTTTGCTTACGGTCCCGCCCCGGCGCACAGTTGGGTTTACATTTCATATTGGTGCCTTCGTGTTTTGAGCACCCTGAGGCTCGGAAAGGGTGATGCTTTTGTGATACCCGTCTGGACCGATTTTCTAGAACGCACGAGGTCGACCACAAATCGGGTGCGTATTTTATTTGGGTTTGTGCTCCTTGATGTTTTGTTGGCTCGTGCATTCTAGAAAAGGCTTCTTTTTTTTCGGGGGGGGGGGGTTCGGGGGTTGATCACGCAGCTTTAGCTGGGTGATGAAGCTTGGAGCTTGGAAGTGCATTTAACCTGGTTTTGTAGGTTTTCACTTGGTGCATTTTTGGCCAAACTGTAGACATCCCGGCCGGCCCCGCAACATTTGCTTGGTGTGAATTCAACGAGAAGTGTCAGGCACTCAGACGTTGTTGGGAGGGGGGGGGGGGCAGGGCAAACATTTAATTGTTGTCAAGGTCATCGTGGCATTTCGCCTCGGAACACTTCTTGTTGCAAGGGGCTAAGCCATGGTCTCAGAGTGCCGGCGTGTTCATCACAGCATTGTGCAAGTTGCACTCCTGGCAGGGACAAACTGGGAGCAAGAAGATCTTAACGGAAAGGCGCGGGGCTGATTTGCGAGCGGCCTTCACAGCAAGCGGTTGGTGCATTTTAGCAAATGTTAGCTGGCTGTTCCAGGAAGCTGGAGCTCCAACACGCTCGCCAAAAGGCCCGGAGATTCTGCAGTCGTAGTCTTGATAAAATGCAGCACCAACATTTCAAGAGGTTGTTCTGGGCCACCCCTCACGATGAGACACAAAAACCGGCGCCACGTTTGCATCGCAGCTTGACCTGAATTTTCAGATATGTTCAGGGTTGTCCGTGTGAATTTGCATTGAGTTTCCATGATGACGGCAGGCGCGCCCACAACGACAACTTGGTGGCCTGTCTCATCACCTGTCTCATCACCGGCCAGGGCCTCAAGTTTCACTGGAATTCTGACTACAACATGTTGGCACGTGCAATCTGCCTGGCAACCAGGTCAAAACCAAGCTTCGATCGCACGCAAACCTTGGCTCGCTGTTCTTGTCTAAAAGCTGTGAGCGCCTTGGGCTGGAAGTGTCGGCCATTGCACAGCCCCCTTTGTTTTTTGCAACGCAGATGCATTTCATCCCAGCGAGCCCGGGCTGCAGGCTTTGCACTGGCGTGGGTCTCAGTGGTCTGATCGTCATAGGACAAAGATGGAAAAAGAGGGAAAAAGAAACAGTGGCCGGTTTCTTGCCAGTGCCCAGGCGAATCCTGCTCTTGCATTTTGCAGTTGTTCTGACAAGGCCGGGAGCTGAAATGCATGTGGCAGTCAAACAGGTTTGGTTCTGCATTCTAGCAGCTGCATGCTGTGTCTTTGCTTGAGGCGTCCCAGACTGGACCTGGATGTCTCAGGCTGGTGGCGTGGGTGACGCGGCGCGCGCTCCAGTAAATCCAGTTGTTTGCCAGCCTGCCGCAAACATAATCAAACCGTGGGAGGGAAGCATGAATGTCCTTGGCAGCCTTGGGAGGGTGGTTGATTTTGATCGTCTCAACCTGTTCATGAGCGAGCCAGCGCCCAAGTGAATCTTGCTCTTCCCTTGCTAACCTGCTCCTTTGCTGCTAAAACCGCAGAACCTCGAATGGCATTTTCAGCAGCAGCTGGGAATGGCTTGTCCAGCAGGTGACTTGCCAGGGGCTGAAAGACTGTTCTGCTTTTCGGCTTGTTTCTTGTTTCTGGCCAAGGTTTTCTCATTGGGTGCAAACTTGCGGAGCATGACTTGCTGTCCAGCGTCCAATTGGTGCGGCCAGGGTCTTGGAGGTCCAAAGCCAAGTCAACGTGTCAGGCCAGCGCATTGTTTGCTGACAGGTCAGGAGATGGGTGGGTGGCCAACTGCCCGACTTGCAACGTGGACACCTTAAGGCATTTTGTCTCACGTTGCACACATGTGTCAGGCAGATCATGGAACTCCTGGTTCAGAAGGCGCGGTGTGTTGTCAAATGTGAGACACCACAATCTGACATAGGCAATGAACCAACATCTTTATCACACAGCCATTCAATGCCATTCAGGAGCAGCTGAAAGATGCGCTGGTGACCTGCCTGGAGTGTCAGGATATTCGGGACCAGCATGTGGCGCTTGACGAGGAAGACGCGGAAGACTCCGATGAGGAAGACCCAGACCAGCAAAAGGATTTACTTGCTGTCATTGAAAAGCTAGGTTCCGCACATAACTGCAATCGCAGCCGTCTGCCTTTGAGCCACCATGCCTCAAAAACATGCGCAGCGAGAACAACTCGGGTGCAATCTGCTCCAGAGTCTTGGCACCTCCACGCGGCTTTTTCAGAACATCAGTCAATGTCCTGGGCTTCCTTGCCCTCAGATCTGACCGGGCCTCCCAGGGCTTAGGATCAAAATGGAGCAAATAAAATGCACAAACCATGTTCTCACAACAAAATACACTTTAACATACCTTAATAATGTTTTAACGCCCGAGAACCTGGATTCTGAGCAATGTGCGCCAGCTCCTTGAGGTGGTCCCGCAATTCATCTGCTGCTGGACATGTCTTCCTCTGCAGCTGCAATGCTTCTTTTTGTGTGAGGTCTGGAATTGTGTCACCCAGCTGGGCAAACTTCTCCTCTTCTTGCTGCTGGGTTGAAGAAGCCAAAGAAGCCTTTGAACTGGCACAACATGTTGGAGGCGCAGGCATCACAGTTGAGAATGCAAGAACAGCATGAGCCAGGCGTGCGCCAATCCCGTCTGGCAGCGTGGATCAAATTGACAGAACGCCCCGAAAGGAGCTCAGCTTGAGCTTGGAGTCTGTGGCGGAAGATTGCATGACCTTTGGGACTGCTGACGTTGTCACGTTTGCGGTGGCAGAGCACCAAGCCAATTGGGAAGTTGGGATCATCCTCACAGTGTGGCGGAGGCTGAAGAGCAAAGCACTTCCTGTGACTGTACCGATTGCGGCTCACGCGGTGAAATCATTACGTATCCTTGCGCTTCAGCCAGAGATGCTCGATTTCAGATATTTCAGTTTGCCTATATGCACGTGACTTCTTGTTTTTCATTTTGTCGCATCGTGCTGCATCTTATTTTTCCCCAGGACTGGTGCTGGCCTCGATGCCTACGTAGGGAGAGCACATGGCCTCTTTTGTGTTGCACCCATCACGGCCATTGCCACCAAGCTGGATGTCACCGAGTATTGCCACGAGCACACAGAACCTGGGTGTGTTTGAGCGGAGTTTCTGGTGCCCCCTCCTGAGCCGCGTGAAGTGAAGTCAAGGGCTCAGAAGACTGAGAAGGATCAGAAGGATCAGAAGGATCAGAAGGATTCGAAAGCAGTAAAGGAGTCCAAAAAGGTCCCGCCAAAATATTCCAAAGCAGTGAAGGATTCCAATGATGAGCAATGTGGTCCCGTGCTAAAGACGGTCCGATTCCGTGTGTGAAAACAAGATGGACACGGAGCCTCTGCCGGACACGGAGCCTCTGCCGGACAATTTCTGGAAAAACGAGGTTGGTCGTAAGCTCATGAAGAAGCAGCTCGTTGCAGTGATGCAGCTGTACAACTCCAAGTTTCCAACAAAGCCCTTGGTCACCAGCACAGGCAAGCTTGTGCTGCCAAATGCTTCAGAGGAGTTGAAATGGAGCGAGGTGATCGCACGAGCACCTTGGTTTTTTGAAACCGAGTTCTGCGATGTGACTGCTCGAGCCCGCTTCAGCAGATGCGTCTTCAGGGTGTTGTCAGAATTGTACAGATGCAATCAAGAGTGGAGACTGGAGACCATTCTTGAAACTTCTGAAAGAAATCCCAGACGCCACGCTGGGGGCTTTGTGAGGGCATGCAGTTTCACCATTGTTCATTCATTTCACATTGCAAATGCATGCAATGCAACGCATGGATGGTGCATGTGGCCAGACATGCGGGGGCACATAAATTAAAACTGATGAAACTGATTGGCGTGACAGCTGAAAGATGCTGAAAGATCTGAAAGCATCCCCCGCAGAGTGTGGCCACCAGTGCATCATTGCCCGTATTGACCATGCGGTTGTCACTGAGTGATCAGTGAATGCTAGCAAGACATAGCAAGACCTTAGACCCCGCAGAGGCCACCAGAGCATTGCCCGTATTGGCCATGCGGGTCGTCAATGTGGAGTGCTCGTGCGATCTCGCTCACCAAAGAAAAACATGAGAAA